CACACACACACACACACACACACACACACACACACACACACACACACATTTAAATATAAATATCTACAAAATAATGTGGGTTTGATGAAAATATATAAAGTATCTTTGGCAGGAGTAAGAAAAAGGTACATTATTTTTTTCCATCTAGAAAACACGTAGCTACAATGCAGTGTAATTTTCTTTTATAGAATCATTTCTAGCTCTTAGATACAAGCCTTGGTTTTAACTTAATAGGATGTCTCATAAACAGCCGCTTTTTCCACCATCAAATCTTAAATAATCAATTATATAGCCCTCCAACAATTCCTAGCTCAATTGTCATAGATCAATACAGCTAGCTATCTCTACGCACATTGGGCCCGACCAAAATTAGTTGAGGAATTTGGAAGGCTATTTTACTGGACACAACAGGCAACTTTGCTTATCGGAATCTCACAACAGATTAGTGGTGCTGATTTGCCTGTGGGTTCTTCTCTACTTGCCCAGAAAGCACAGTGAAATACTAACTCTTTCAGTGACAATGAACTGTGACTCATAAAAGCCTGTGTTTTCACTTTCTTGGAACTATGTTTTCTTTTTACTGTGTTTTCAAAAAACCTACAGCAAGTTTGCTCAGAACATTTCTCTTTTTTCACCACTCATTCCCTCCTCTCCCCCACATTCTTGCCCCATTACATCCATGTAAGTTAGGCAGAGGCCAATATCATTCCCATTTTTATGTACATGGTCTTATACTTTTCAGGGGTAAAAGCTGCAAGTCTTCCAATTTCTACCCCAAGATCCCGTGCCCACCACACAATGGCGGTAGCTAGATACATGATGACACTTGGCACATGCTCAGGGTAGGACAGAACTGCCACCAATAATTCCCCCTTTTAAAAGGATTTATACTTTTCTGAACTCTGAATTTTAATCAAATTTTATGAAAAAGAGAAGAAAGTAAAGACAGTCTCCTGGTATGGCCATTTGGTAAGCAGATAATTGTCGCCTTTAAATGATGTGATGACACCTGGTGGGCACCCAGTTATGTGGATGAAGATGCCACGCTGACTCAAGAGCTGCTATTTTCCTGAACTGAAGGGTCCCTGGGAGTCTGGAGGATAAACTGTACAGCTCATCTAATCACAGAGCGTGGCGTGCAGCTCAGGGCACGGTCTAACACATGTGGTAAGTAATTTATATTCCTTTACGGCTCAGCTAGAGAGGAAAACCTAGAAGATTTAACTGCTTTCTCCCTAGCCAATGTGTTGGCTGCCATATATTTTTTAGCAGGCAAGCAAAGCTCCCATTTGATGCCTTGTGGCGATTTCTGACCACTAAGATGAAATACACAGTCATCCTAAATTGATAACGAGGCTCGAATGAATGTGCTGATATAGGTGAACAGATACACTGTTATGATAAAACAGAGAGAATATCTGTTTCTTAGTGTCTGCATTTTTAAGGCTTCATCCCCTGGGTGGAAGGATAAGAGCTGAAAAATACGACCTTGCAATGAAAGAATGTTAATGTGTGGCATATACATCTGAATCATTGGATGACAGCCTCCCCTTTCTTATTGCTACATATATTAGAGCATTTATCCAGTGCTGGTTCTCATCTAAAGGTCGGGGTTGTCTCTAGGTCAACTTGCAACTCATCAAAGCTCTAATTCTTAAATAAGATTATAATTCTGATCAAAGGAAAAGCTTCTGCTGTAATTCTAGTAGCAAAGAAAATGTGAAAGGATCCCTAAAAATAAACCAAATACCACATTATGTGACATTTTTCCAAACCAGAATAATAACCAGTTTTGCCACACATTTGAGCATGTATTAAGTTGTTATGGAAAGAAAAGCATTATCATGTCCTGATGTGTTAAATAATTTTTCTTTCTTTGCTTCCCTTTTTTTTCCCTCCTAGTTTTTCTCCTACGAGATATTTCTTGCCCTTACAGACTCTTAAATTGAAGCATAACACTGCAATAAGTTTACTAGTGATTTTGTATAATGTAAAATAAAAGAAGAAATCTACTTCTAGATTCTACAAACAATATAAAAATTTTAGAGAAGGGAAAATAAGAATTCTGTATATCCACTTTTAAAAAATCACTGATCTGTTGTAGCGCAGGACTTTGAATGATTCACATGGCCTTGTTTTCTCTTTTCTCTTATGGGCCCTTCTTTGCTAAGTATCAGAAGGCTTCTACCTCTTTTCTTAGGAAAATGTCATCTAGCCAGCATTTGCAACTCTGTCCTTTGAGAATATTACAAAATGGAATAAAGAAGTTGGGGTAATGGAGGGGAGATTTAGACAGAAGGAAGCCGTGAGTTCTTATTGTCTGTGGTGGTTAAAGTAAATACAGATCTCATTCTGCTTGATTTCATTTATTTCCTGTCTCACATATTTACAAAAAGGATGACTCTTTTCTCCTGAACAAGAAATATGTTATGGTCATGTGAGGAGAGAACCAAGTCATGTGTTTTAATAACAACATTTCCCTGTGTGGTTAGAAAGCTGGCAAAGTTATGGCTTTTGTCTATGAACCTAAACTTAAAATGATAATATTAGCATTTCCTAGAAACTATACTATTACATATTTCTAATACAGAGTATTGAAAAACATAATTCCTTTAGCACGATTGTCATATTTTAAAACTGATACCTGAAAATAGATTAGACTGGGCAAAATATATAAGACTAACAAATTTAGAATCAGAAGATATATAGAGAAGAAAAGTGTGATTTTCTGCTCTGAATCTGGAATTAATGCTCAGGACCTTATTTTCCACCGAGCACTAGAGTTTATAGGGAGAGTTAAACTAACAGTTCTAGATGTGTCTTACTGGATGTATATTTCATGGGGAGGTGGGAAGAGCCTTTCAGTAGCAGAGATTCGGGAAGCTGAGTTCCTGTTTTGGCTCTGCACTAACTCAATAAATGACTTGAAACAAGTTACCATCTTCCTTTGGGCCTTAGTGTCCTCAACTGTAAAGTTAACAGTACTCCTAACTTCAGTGTTTTATGTTTCTATAACATAACTGGATATGAAAGAGTCCTAGACAGCATAAGAAAAGGGAACTTAAATTTATCATAAGCAGCAATTAAAAATGTGTCTCATTGGTTTGTTTAGGACAATCACTGTTCAGTTGAGATAACCATCTTTAAAGAAAACACATTGTTTTTACCTAAAGTTTTTTTCTCTTTAATATAATGAACATTCTTTAGCATCAGCATTACCCAAGGTTGACAATGGCTGGTCCATTTGCTTCTAGCAAGCCTCGTTAAGAACGCCTTATAATTTAAATCCATTACCTGCTATGAATGCTCCAAGTAAACACTGATTTGGGGGTTTATAAATAATACAGGTACATGGATTAAATCAGTTCAGCCTATATTTTATCTACATTGCTTTTATTTCTTTGTTTTAAGTGCCTGTACTATCACAATCACCCAACTAGCATTTAAAGTCACTACATGACAAAACTATGAATCATTTCATTTTTAACCTGAATTAAACAAACGAAAATTAAGCCCCAAATTTATGTGCATGTGTGTGGGGGATGTGTGTGTATGATTCTGTATTTTCTTTTTTTATTGTTATTTATATATAAAACCATAGCCTTACTTTGTGTAAAGCAAGAGACCCAAGATTAAAAACCAATAGAAGAACCTATTGGAGTCTTTGTTTTGGGTTATCCAAAGAGAATTTTCTTTCCTTTGTCCACAGAGTTAATTTCTCAGTATAATCCTATAAAAAATGATAGTTTCTTCCAAATAATCAAAGAAAAGGAAGGTAGAATTAAAAATAAAAACTATAATGATTATCATTTTGTTCAGAGGTTCTTAAATAGGGGTCCTTGCTTTTGGAGATTGTTCATGGGCCCCCAAGGTTGTCTGTAATATTATGTACATATGTCATAATATTCTTTTTTAATCAGGTCCTCACAAAAAATACATTATCTAAAAAAGATTAATTAACTACTGCTCTAGTCCAAATGAGAAAACTTAATCCCAGAATGAGAAGCAATTAGCCATAGTCGTGCCATCAGCCAGGGACACTGATAGCCCCAGAAGGCTGCTCACTCTAGCGTGCACAAAGGTACACATTGTTTCTGAAACTTGTATTATCTGGAGAAGAAACTTTGCCTGCTTTATTTGTTGCAAGGTAAAGTAAGCTAATAGAGATTTCAAGGATACCATTTCAATTTTAACATTTATTGCCACTAAAATTATTGTTTTAAGATCTGGGTGACAAGAATTGGCTAGAAAGAATCCCTGAAACAAAACATAGCTCTCTTATGCATGCCTCATGAAACTGTAGTTTCATTCCTACCTACAGAAGCAAAAATTACCTGTGTTAACACTTAATGTTTGAACATCAACTGGAATTTAAAATATACAGAGGGCTCATCTAGAATAGCAGACCTACTTACTTGGAAAGATCACTCTTCTTTTGAAAAGTCTTCCACCTGTTTAACTGTAATTAAGTGTATTAATATAATCACTTGAATAAATTATAACCAATAAAGAGTCAGTATTGCACACGAAGCTTTTACTAAATTAAGTTTCTTTTTACTAGTTCTTTCTGTTATTTGTTCTCATGAAAATTCTTTTTAATTTAGATAGTGTTATCAAGATGTATTGGTTATTAAATATGCCTTCAGAGATAAAGCTGCAGGAACATTGCACATTTCCCATATCTTTTTCTGACTCAACTTCCTTCCACAGAGGGAAATTATAGAATTCCAAGGAGAGAAAGAAATATCTGTAAATAATATGTTTATCGGCATTCAATAGTTTAACATGCTTGATCACTATTGGTGAATCAGAGCAAAAAAGTGACAGTAGCATCTATCAAGTTATATCATGGAAAATCTTAACCAAAGTAAAATAAGTTATAGTGTTGATTTCAGCAATGTGCTATATTTGATAGCAATTGATAGATGTCTATTAAACAAAATCACTAAACTGTATAAAAAAAAAAAGCCTTAATTCTTAAGGTAGTAAAGTAGATTTTTCCTGGAGCCAAAACTATAAATGGCCAGGGAGAGTGAACTACTGATAGGATCATACAGAGTAATCCCAACAGTAACTTGAAACTCAATGATTCCCTACTGAGACCCAGAATATCAGAAGGTACAACAATAGTATTCTTGATTCTGAACTTAAATTTGAATAACTAATGAAGTATTTATCTTGTATAGAAAGTAAAATACAGGTTTCCTGTTAGGAATGTGATAGGAAAGCGGCTACAATGTCTCCAGCATAAACCAATGTGTGGCAAACGAGAGATCTTCTATCTATCTCAGTGGCTACTGACAAAGGCGATGCCTTTGGTCTCAAGTGCAAATTAAACAAAGTCCCTTAAGGAGGCTAAAAAGTAAGATAAATTATGCTGGGGAAAAAAGTAAATCAAAATAATAGAGATCACAATGCTGAAAAGGGGAAAAAGTTATTAGTCTATATATCCCTTTATAATTTATAGTAGTGATTGTTTCATTACTATGCAACAGTAATAGATTAAATAAATTGAGGGTGAAAATGACTGATTAAATCCTTGTGCCTAATGCATGCCAAGAGAGGGAAGATTTCCCTAGACAGAAGGGGGGAAAAAAAGAAAGAAATATATAAAAATAGATACGATATCAACATCTGTACAAGGTTCACTCAATATAAAGTCTACAGATATCAAGTATAGGTATTAGCATCGGTAATGAGGAAGATTAGATATCGACACTAATTACCCGTATCAATAGATTCCTGTGCTGTATCTTCAAACATCTAATATATTTGCCTAGAACTTTTCTAAATCAAAGCTACTCTGTTTATACTTATGTAGAAAATGTAATCTGAGTTTCAGTGAATTTTTAATTTTGTTCAATCTTGCATTTGTTCAACCAAAAACAATTTAAAGAGGACCCAGGCTATCAGCCTCACAGTAAGCCAGTGCCGCTCCTCACTGGGGAGTTCTTGAATCAGCCATAAAAATCAAGAGTGTGAATCTAATAGTTTTCTTTTTAATTCTAGCATTGAAAAATGAATCATCACAGCAAATATTCTTCAGGGCCTCTTTGGTTTCCAGATTAAACGTGTAATGTGACCTGTCATCTTGCCACATTCTCTGCATTTCCATTTTAAATAATCATAAATAAGAAAACCTTGCTACTCTTTGGCATGACACAGCTGTTTGATTCAGCTGAATTTCAAAGAGTCTTAGAAATTGCACTCATTCCTTCTTCAGAGTCCTGGTTCCTCTCAAAGATTTTCAGCTGAAAGATTCTTTATTATATTCAAATCTTGTCCCATATGAGTTGCTTCGGTTACTCAGTTTATGAAGAGTCTTAGAAATTGAACTGGGTCCGCAGCAAAAAACACCAACCGTTTTCCTGGGAAGGGAGAGGGAGGAAATAGAAAATCAGGTGGAAAATTTGGCAGAACGTGACAAGAAGTAGGCTTGATGAGCATGTGTACGTTATTAACAAAATTAATTTTTTGCTGCTTTGCAAATTAAAAATAAATTTTCCAGTTATTTCCAAATGTAAATGATCACCCAGAAGGTATTTTATTTACCTCATGCTTTTCAGTCTAGAATTCAAGGTAATTCAAACAATGTAGCTATGAGCACATATTTGCTTATTATCAGGTAGAGAGTAAGCAGTCTGCCTTAGCCTTTTCATTAAATGCCATTGGTGAGGATAGAAACTAAATCAAGAGCGGCAGTTCATAGATGTTCAGCCATAATAAATCATGTCAATCTTCTTTTATAGATGTTTTATATACATTTTTCCTAAAGATTTCATGGATTTTCATGGGCAGTGATGAATAGGAGCAGAGAAAGAAAAGCTATTACCAATTTGAAAGGATAATTTTAAGTGACTAATTTATATCTATTGATACATTGAAATAAAAAGCATTATTAATCTGGATACATTTCCTGTTTTATTTATGCTCTGCAATAATTGTAACAAATGCCAAGCAGGTTTTATTATTTGCTAACATAAAAATTTAGTAGATAAATTATACATATCCCTAACAACTAGACTAAATAAATCCCAGAAAATGACTAATATTTCACATTGATCTTCCTCCAAAGTTTGTTGACTTTCTTGAATTATTCCCAGGATATCAAAATGATTAACAATTCATATATATTAGACAAATACAGTATGTCCTTATTGTCTGAGAATAGTTGTTGCTGAAAGAAAAAAGTGAACCCATTTAAATGGGTACCAAAAATTTATAACAAATACTGAAAAATGGCTTTATTAAAGCTTTTCACCTTGAAAAATAAATCAAGGAACTATGAAAATAAAACTTTCACTTGCAGTCATGATGGAGTAATGGGAACTAGATTTACCCTCTGCATTAAAAAAAATGAGGAAAAAAATGATATATGAAACAAGTATTTTCAGATATTATACAACAGGCAGAAGAGGACAGTGATCCCTGAGAAACAGAAAAAAAACAAGGTGAGTTCAGTAACTGTCTCTGCTTATTGCCTAGATGCAAGCTACAGGCTGCAGCACAGAAAGGAGGAAACTCTGTATACCAAGATTAGTGGTCTCACTGAGTTGAGCAGACAATGGAATTCATGGAGGCCAAAGTAACTAGAATTTGTGGAGGAGATATGGAAGGAAAGAGAGATCCACTGAAAGAAGCTCTGGAGATCTGGAGAGGAGTATCCTTAAGTCATTGGCTGATTTACTCATGTGTGTGAAAAAAGACAGAAAAACAAAACCACAACAAAAAAACACATGAATCTCAGTACAGAATTACCAGGGAGCAGTAAGTCAAACAAAATCCATAGTGTACAAAAGGTTGTGAATGATTTATGTTCCCACAAGCCAGAATGGAAAGATCTGTATATAATACATGGCCAATAGGTAGTGTTCTAGAAAGGTATCTTATTTGCAGAAGGTAGGGTGGGTGTTGGTAAAATCAGCCTTTGATTGAAGGCTGCTCTAGACCTACACAACAAAGCTTAACAGTAAGCCTTGAAAAGATCTAACTAAACCCAAGTAACAAAATTTCAAGCCAGAAACAAATCTAACAATATTGAAAAGAATAAATCAAAATTTGGCATTTAACATATAAACTTCAAAATCTATAGCATTGAATTAAAAATTACCAGAAGTGTATAGAGCAAGAAATTACAACTTATAACTTACAACTTAGGAGTGTTATTGGCTGAATTGTGCCCCCCCCTTCATATGTTGAATCTCTAAACCCCAGTACCTCAGAATGTAGCTGTTATTTGGAGATAGGACCTTTCTAATGTGATTAAGTTCAAATGAGTCTGTTAGTGTAGACTCTATTATACCAATCTGACTAGTGTCTTTATAAGAGAAAATGTGGATATATAGAGACATGAGAGATGCACAAAACAAAACAAAACATGTGAAGAGGCAATAAAAGGATGATCACCTGTAAACCAAGGTGTGTGTGCACATGTGTGTATGTGTGTGTGTGTGTGTGTGTGTGTGTGTGTGGTGGGGAGCTCAGAGGAAATTAACCCTGCTGGCATCGTGTTCTTAAGACTTCCAGCCTCTAGAATTGTGAGAAAATAAATTTCTATTGTTTAATTCACTCAGTCTGGGGAATATTATTATGGAAGACCTAGCAAAGTAATATAAGAAGAAAGATCGGTCAGTAGAAAAAGGCCCAGGGTGACAGAAATGATGGAATAATCCCACATGGTCATTGAAATGGTAATGAGAAATATGCTTTATATGTTCAAAGGTAAGCATCAACATAATGGGAAGAGAAACAGAAGATTTTTTAAAGGCCTAAGTGGAAATTATCAACTAGTTTAACAAATATGTAACTGTAGTACCACCATGAGAGAAGAACAGAACGGAAAGAGAAAAACACATTTAAGAAACAATTGTCTCTTTTTTTCCAAATTTGACAAAACAAACACATAGACCCAAGAATCTAATTAACTCCAAGGAGAATACACACAAAACCACATAAGACAATTTATAGTAAAACTCTGAAAGCCAGTCACAAAGAGTAACACAAAATCAGCCAGAGGTGGGAAAGACACATTGCAAATAATAAACGAAGGATAAAAAGATGGACTTCTTGTCACACATTATGCAATTCAGAAGGCAACGAAGTGATATCTTCAAAATACTGGAAGGTTAAAAACAAAAATTAACTATTCTATAACAAGCAAATTCTATATCAAACAAAATAACTTTCAAAAATGAAGATAGAATATACAATTTTCAAACAAAAGATGAGAGAATTCATTGCCAGCAAACCAGCACTACACAGTGTGTTAAAGATAATTTTTCAGGAAGGAAAATGAAATCAGAGAGAAATACGGATCTACCCAAAAGGAGTGAAGAGCACCAAACTGATGAATCTGTGAATAAATATAACATACATTTTGTCTAACTTTTAATTTCTTTAAAATATAATTAATGTTGGGGCTGGCCGAGTGGCGCATTGGTTAAGAGATGGCTTGGGACGCCAGCTCTGAGCAGCAGGGGGTCAGATCCCACATGAGGGCCAGTGACACTGCCCTCTACAGCTAAGATGGTGAACAACAGCTCGACTTGGAGCTGGGCTGCCGTGAGTCACCGGCAATGGCGTAGGCTGCAGTGGGGCTGCAATGGGCTGCCGTAAGCTATCGTGTGTGGCTGGCAGCCATCGTGAGCAGCTGGCAGCTGGTGTGAGCTGCTAAGAGTTGCTGTGAGCGGCTGTCCAGAGGCCGGCGACCGATCTACCTCACCCGGGAAGAGCGCAATGATAATACCAACATGGGCCAGTGAAGCAACGTCCTCCACAACTAGACTGAAGAACAAAAGGACAGCAACTTGTCTGTTCCCCTTCTCCCAATTCCCAGTGCTGTTCTCCTCCCTCAATACCCCAATAAAATCTTTTTTAAAAATTATATATATATATATATATATATATATATGTAAAATTAATGTTTAAAACAAAAGCCATAACAATACATGATGGAGTTTCTAGCATATTTGGAAGAAAGATGAGTAAGAACAACAGCCAAAGAGGTGCACGGGGAATGAAAGTACATGAAGCAGTGTAACATTATTTGAAATATACTGTTATGAGCTAATGATGTACACTGTAAACTTGGAACCGTGTGTCTCTGATTTCAGCTTCATTGGAATCACCTGCGGGACTTCAAGACTACAGACCGATGAGCTCCATCCCTAGAGCTCTTGATTTAGCAGATCTTGGATAGAGTTCAAGGATTTTCTTTTCTAATAATTCCCCGGCGATGCTGGTCCAAGGAATACAGTTTGGGAAACAATGCCTTAAAAAAAAATCACTAAAAGCAAACAGAGAGATATGGCTTTCATGCCAATATAGGATAAACAAATGGAATCATAAAAAATACTCGGTCCACAAAAGGTAGAGAAAGGAAAGAAAAAAATAGAAAAGAAGGAACAAATGAAATAAATAGACAGCAACAGTAAACTGCTGGATTTAAACCCAACCAAAGAGAATTAAGAATACTCAATGAGGAAAAGTTAGTCTCTTAAATAAATGGTGTTGGAAAACTAGCTATGTACATACAAAAGAATGAAACTGGACCCCTGTCTTATACAACTCCCTGTGAAAAAAAACAACAAGATTTTTTTTATTTCATGTAATAATAAAATGCAATGTATTTTGAAAACCTCCAATATACATGAAACAAAAACTGATAGAACTATAAAAACAGATAAATCTAGAACTATAGTTAATGATTTCAACACCATCCTCTACCAGTAATTGATAGAATAGAAAATCAGTAAATATATTTAAACTTATCAAGCAATTGGAACTAATTGATACTTATTAGAGTGCTCTACCCAAAAGCAATAAAATACAAATTATTTTTGAGTTCACATGGAACATTCATCAAGACAGGCCATATTCTGGACAATAAAATAGGTCTTGATACATTCTAAAAAATTTAAATCACAAGGAGTATGTTTTCTTAACAAAACCCAATTTCACTAGAAATCACGATCAAAGAGATATCTTTAAAATTCTGATATTTGGAAATGAAACAACATACTTTTAAATAACCAATGGGTCAGAAAAGAAATCACATGAAAGTTAAAATATATTTTGAAAGGTATAAAAAATTAAAACAAAATACATCAAAATTTGTGGGATGTAGCTAAAGTGGTGTTTAAAGAAATATTTATAGTATTGAATACTTATATTGGAAAAGAAAAAAGTTCTGAAATCAATGACCTAAACTTCAACCTTAATAAACAAGTAAAAGAAGAGCTACTTAAACCCAAAGTGAGCAGAAAGAAGAAAATAATAAGTACGAAAATAAATTCTTATGCTTAATAAAATTTAGATTACTATTAAAAACTGAGTAGAAACAATGCATTACTTAAATGAATAAAACTGAACTATTGAGTTTATACCACATAAATATATACATACATACATAAATAAATACATATCCATACTGTGGTTTTCATTAAAATGAAAAGGAAAAGGAAATGAGTAATTTTGTCTGTTTGTATACATTCTCTGTCAACACTGCATTATGACAAGATACCATTATTTTCTTTCTTGTCTTTCATAGGATAATTATAGAGTTCATTTTCTTTCTAATTTTTCACATTTTTGAAGGCTTCTCTTAAATGCTTCAGAATAAAATCATTATTTTTAAAGCATTCACATGTCATTTCTTTTTTTACATTTTCTTTTTCAATTAAATAATTAAATAGTTTAACTTTAGGCAATCTTTTTGTAATCTGAGGAGTTCCCAATGTCACTTTCACTTAATGAAATCCTAAAACTTTTTAAAGATCTACAATTAATCATTAAAATCATTTGCACTAAATTTACATTAGGCGGCTGCAATCCAACAATTATCAGATTTACCTACAAAAACTTTGTTGAGGTGGGTAGAGATAGACTTAGATGCTAAGCAGAGAATGTGTTTGGGGACAGACGGAACTAGTTTCATATAAGTCCGATATATTTGTGTATGTTTTCCCTTTATACCAATATTTGCTTTCCATGCATATTTGTAAGTGTTGGAATCTTATATGATGAGAGCTTATTCACTCCCTGGAAATTATTCACTCCTTGTAGATATACAGAAAATTTGAATGATGAACCACAGACACTGGAGAAAATGTGAGAGACCAAACCTAACTATTCTTAATTTGTACTATTTTTATTTTTATTTTTATTTTTTTTAATATGTGCTTCTTTTATTTTTTTTATTTAAAAAAAAAATTTTTTAAAGGTTTTTATTGGGGACTTGCGGGGATGGGAACAGTGCTGGGGAATTGGGTGGAGGGCAGTGTCACTGGCCCTCATATGTGGGATCCGAACCGGGGCCCTCTGGCGTCCCAAGCCAATTCTTAACCATCGCGCCACTCGGCCGTCCAGTTCGTACTATTTTTAAAACACCATCAGGCAGCATAACATAGATACAATCTCAGACACTTCCCCCAACCCCGGAGTAGTAATTTTCTGCTCCAAAGTCTACATTAAGTTAACCCTTTACTTCTCCCTTTGCATAATACATAAGTTCAACTAACTGATGATTGATGTGCATTTTATTATAAATAATAAGAAACTGGATTTTGGTTAGGTGTAATACACAATTGTCTGACAGGTTGTTAAATACTAAATGGCTTATAAAGTAAATATACAATATCGTTTTATGTTTTTGAAAAATTAGTTGTTGACACTTTCAGTATATTACAATTAACATTTTGCTGCAATATCCATAGTGAATATGATGGTTTCTTGCAACGCCTCACTGACGCCAAGAGGGCCATGGTAAAATAAGATTGACACTTTCTTTCTCTTTGGGAAAATGCTCTGCTGTAAAGCACATTAAACTTTACAGTCAGAGGATATGGGTTCATGTCTGAATTCTGACTCATTAACCATAGCTTTAGACGAATCATTACCTTTTGGGGTCATAGCTTCTTCGTTTGTAAAATAACGATGAAAGCAAGGTGACTTCAAAAGCTCCTTCACTTTCCTTAATCATGTAATACCTTCACATAATTCATTTTCTGAATTTAAAAAAAGCCATGCAAGGAAGGAACCGCTCTCATACACAAATGCAAAGTAAATTGGGTATAAAATTAATTCAGCCTTTTGGATGTGGTAGGACAGTATCTAAATGTGCATACCCTTTGATCCGGCAATTCTAGTTCAAGGATGCTAACCTACTGCAATATTCTTACAAGAGCATGAAAAGATATGTGCAAAGACAATTACTGTAGCACTGTTTGTAACAGTAAAGGACTGGAGGCAACTTAAATATCCATAAGCAGGATAGTGATGGTCATGTTATCCATAGTCTAGAAAAATGCTGAGGTAGAATTTGATGAAATTATTTATGAGCAATCTATAATATATCTGAAAAAGACTAAATTGAAGAATTATATATTATAGATTCATTCAATTTTTGTTAAAAATTAAATTTTATATTTTTACTATATATATTTTAAAGATGTACCTACATATATGTACATATGCTTATGTACTTATACTTATATAAATGTGTGTGACTTATATATGCATTCATAGTATACGCGTATATACCGGGGTGCCAAAAAATGTATACAAGTGGACACTGGTTAACATTGCTCAAGCAGTAGTTCGCCATAATCAGAAGTGTCTGGATGCTGATGGTAACCACTTTGAGCACCTCTTGCAATTGCAGAAGTCAAATGTGACTTGTATTCATTTTCTGTTATTGGTATACATTGAGTATTACAATTAATACAGTGTTTTCCTTTCTTAAAATGCGTAAACATTTTTTGGCACCCTCTGTATACTTATATATGTATATATATTTCTATAAGTATACAGAGGGTGCCAAAAAATTGTATACACATTTTATATGTATATGTACTTATATATGTATATATCCTTTTGTAAGTGTGTGTGCAAGAAGTGCTTAATCCAATTTAAATTTGGATTCTATATAGTTTATTAAACTAATACCTACTGGTTTACTAAATAATCACTACCTGAAAATTAAATTGCAGCCCAACATAGAGCATTAAAAATGATTTAATTCATATGCCTCTTCTCTATTCTTAGCTCTGTATATTCTTTATGTAACTCATGTGCATGAGGTTAACCAAAATTTTACATATAAAATTAAGACTTCTATTTAAATGGTGCCTTTTTTTTTTTTTACGGTTAATGAACCCTTAAGATGTTGATCCATTCCTTTCCAAACTGTGCTACATAAAAATCCTTTAAAAAATAATGTATTTTAGGTGCCTGCCCAGAGCAACACAAAGTGAAGTGTTGTACAAAATGTCAACAGCAGGTGGTGTACATTTGCTCGTTTTAAACCAGCTTTGATGTTGAAAGAAAATGAACAGCCAAATAGTCACAGAAAAATCCCTCTAAATCATGAACAGTATAACAAATAAAAATTCTTAAGAAATAACCAAAGAAACCAATAATCCCAGTTTAATTTCCTGTAAATGATCCTCTACTGTTTTGGGATTTGATTTCAGAGTGGAGCAAAACAACAAAGAAACCAAAAGTATCAAAGTTTTCAGCACTATACTATGAGAACTAAAAAAAGAATGCTTGTCAGAGGTCAGTTAAATGTCATTAAAGAGGACTGAGTCTGTGGTGCATCACAAGACCCAGATCAGTATGACAAGATTATCACATCAAAGGTGGCTGATATTGGAGAAAGATGGGAAAGGAATAGAACTGAAACTGGGTTTATTTTCTTTTTGTTTTTCATTCTATAGCTCAACCTTTAACTAGAACCTTGAATATTACTAAGGATCTCTGCCTTCTAAATAGTGCTTCCTTCTTCAACCTCAAACTACTTCTTCAAGGAAAGGGAAATACAGAAGTGGTTTCAAACATGGCAGCAATTTGAATTTCTTGGGTACATTTTTTTCAAATTTGATTCTGGGGCTCCGTACCATAATTCCTAAAACAGTATCTCTGAAGATGAAGCCATGATGAATCAGTGATTCTTTCAATACGTCATATTCACCCATGAATTCATGAGTTGGGGCTTTTCAAAAAACTCTCTAGTAAGCTGCCTCATTCATTTACAATGGAATATCCTTTTTATATTTACCAAAATATATTTTTTTAAATTATGAATTGATCAACTATGTACTAATAATTGTAATGATAACTCAACCCAGAAGAAAAAAATTAACACTGGAGCCTTAGGGTCACAGGAAATTTTTAAAATTAAATCAATTTACGTATATTCTTATTGCAAAAATATGGTTAGCAATGAAAATATGATTTGTTCAAATATAAAAATATATTGAATTTTGATAAAATATTGCAGGTTAATAAGGATAGAAATATAAGTTCAAGTAGAAATACAAGTACAAGTAGAAAATACAAGTTCAATTATGTATAATTTCCAACTGCTAATGAAAGCTTGTTTGTGTATTTACAATATATGAGGTTGGTATCAAGAAACCATGATATTTAGATCTCAGTAAATATGTTTAGAATAGTTACATTAATTTTAAAATGTCAACACCTGCAATATGTCAACATCTACAATATAAAATGTCAACATCTGCAAAGTCTGCACATTACAGACTTTACAACCATTTAACCTTATGACGAAACTATTTCCATGCTAACTTTAAGATGTGTGAGCGGGTATATGGTTTCAAATGCTTTTACATTTTTGTAGACGATTGCTCTACGCTGTGATAAGCTTACAGAAGACAAATGGGCTATCTACTCTGTGCCCTAAAGAATGCTTTTTTTCAGTAGTAATCTTTTCAGATTATAGATACATAGTCCAGAATGCTAAGGTTCTTCATAGAAATGTAGCTTCCAAGAAAAAAAAAATCATGTTTAGAAATATTCCTGGCTTCAAGACTGCATATTACAACTAAGAGATTTAAAAAATGTGTTCGTTCTGGTAAAAATGTTCAAAAATCTGATTTTTAAATGCATGTATTGTTAGAACTATTTGTAGAGCTCCCTTGTTTGCCAACATGATTTTGAAAAACTTTTCCAGTGATCACCTGATATATGCTGTGGGAATGAATACCCATTCTAGTATGTGTCTATGCAAATTTAAAAGTAGAGAGGACAGTCTAGTTCATAAATAATTCATATACTATTTCTAAGCCAAATTTTAATTATTTGGCATGACAGATAGGTGAGGTGCTCCCTGCCTTGCTCTTTCCTTTGACAGTGATAATTGAGTGCTTAAGTGATCCTGTAATTTGTAAACCCATTACTAATTCATCTTTTAAAACTTTATGTAATGACTTGGGGATATTTTATTTGATCATTAGCCACATGTCAAATTTTCTGAGGAATAGTACGTACCCTCTGTTACATTTTGCTATTTCATCAAACAGAAGTTTCCACCGAGGACGTCCAATAAAAAGTCTTGAATTCAGTGCTTGATATTTTTCTCCAATTATCTTCTGCCAAAAAGAAAGCACTATATTTTATATGATGCAGAGTTGGCAAATAACCCATTTCTCTAACATTATTTCTGCTGATGGTGTGGCTTCCTACCAAATTGCTGTGATATAAAGAATATAAGTATCAAATGGCAACCTATTAAGTACAGTCATTTAGAACATCATTTCCTTCCTCTTTTCTTTTAAAACCCATTATGTTCTTGAATACCATTATTATAAATGGCTGATTTCCCTGGATTTTAGTTTGTTGCTTCATTTTTAAACAACTGCAATGTTAAAGGACGCATTCTAATTGCCTACTCTCAAAAAAAAAGGCCAAAGCATAAACTTTATTGAAGTGTTTTTGCACTGCAAATACATTTGTCATATTTGACACATTATAGGAGTAAAATTCTACAAACTGTCATCATAAATTTGGGGAAATGATCCTAGACAAGACAGCCTAAGACAGCAGAGTTCCAAATTTTGGGACTATCAACAAATATCTTCTAATGAACTGCTGTTTGCAATTAACAGAATATGAGATCTGAATCAGTGGTGGACAGTGAAGTGAGAAAAGAGGCCAACGTATCTGAGTCCCAGGCAGACACACTGAGAACCACGTATAATTTATGCTCTGTACCTTAATTACAGCTATACCATGGGGATAACGTTACTTACTGACTTGTTTCATGAGAGTAGTAAAATGAAATATTTTTTACAGACCAAGTAGGGTAGAATGCTGACTAGAATAAATAGGGTTTCATTAGTTTTGAAGTAACTGACAAGCGTTCATATTTTGAAAATGTATGATAGAAAAGACTACAGTAAAACACGGGCAAACATTCATGACCAGGTTTCATACACCTATGCAGCTCTTCAGTGTTGTCTGTAAACATCAGTTTCTTCTTCTGTAATATGGGGATAGCAATATCCTCTGCCTCTTGAATGTTGGAATCACATGATATAATGTATATGATTGTTTATAGCACAGTGTCTAGCACAGTAAGTAAATAATGTGTGATGACTGTTAGTTATTTTATTTAGTTTCCCTTAAAGGGAAACCACCTTAATTGTGTAGGGCCTTATCTTCTCTCTGCATATAAAACCTCCCCTCAATGAACACAGTCAGAAGACTGTCCACTTAGGGTCTGATCTCTGGAAGTAAAAAACTTGAGATCACAGAGTGAAGAGGAGAGAGATGAACTCAAAAGGACTGCCCCAGCTCCCTGTAAGGAGGGCAAAAGAAAGGCCTAATACACTTGACTTGAAGGACAAGCCATGAGTTTTCTGGACACTTTCCAAGAAGGCTTTTCTTCAAACCACCTGCAGAAATTTTCTTCCAGCAAAGCCCCCACAGTAAATCTTTTATAATATTATCGAGAGGTCGTTTAATTTACAATAATGCCCAGCCACATACCTGTATCCCATCTGTTTGACTGAGGTACAGCTGGATGTTGACATAGTCAGGTCTGTTCTCTTGCCAAAACTGGGAGGACATAAAAGTAAACAGACATTAAAATGCTTTCTGTATATTCAGACTTTCTCCTATCCTAACATATATGATTCTAGAATTTGTAAGATGTATCTTGTCTAATCATAGTCAACATCTACAAGCAAATGTATAGCCATACATAAATACATATCTCTGTGCATATACATGCCAGGTTCTAACATTAATAACCTGCCACCTACTGGTATCATCAGGTATGATGGTTGTAGTGAAAGGGAATCATTACCTGTTATCTTTAAAAATACAAAACTGAGCATGCTAAATACTACAGTAATATTCCTTTCCATTTTCCCCACATATTTTTTTATTTTATTCCCTAAAAGTCTCCAATTTTTACCCAAGAGTTCACTCATAAAGAAACATGATTTTCTTATTTAAAAAAGTCATTAGTGATATATGATATGCATGCTAGGAATGCATGCTGTTCAAGGTCTTCTGATTAGGTAGGGTTTCATCACTCCTCTGGGACCACCTGGCAGGTAACTGAGGGACTTGTTTCTATTGCCATTCCTACCTCCCTGGAGACTTCTGGGAATTTACTCAACTTAATCTATGTGTCAGTTTCTTCATCAGGACACAATGTATACAAATGTATGAGGCAGAAAATATACCTGCCAAAATAAAAGAGTCTGGAAAAAATCCTGAACATTTTTATAGCTTGAAAAAATAAACTAAGAAGAATATCCTCTGAAGGAAAATAAATTCAAAAGGGGGTAAAGGGTTTTGGTTGTCCCCACATGCTTCTCTTTTCAAAAGACAAAAATGAATCTACTAATGACTCGCCTTGCTCTGACTAAATCTTGATCTGAAATTTATATTAAGAAAAATATTATTCTTAGGGCCTCCTTTCACCACCCTGGAACAAGGAAAAGCTAAAAGATAAGGGAACAGCATCAAGAGTAGAAAAAGAAACCAAACACAGCAGCCACGGTGTGCTCTGTGGAGACTAGACCTGAGTGTCTGATGTGTGGACCCTGAGGAAAGGCTTAGCAGACACCAGCACATCTTCAACAGCCGAACTACTTCTCGAGCATAGATAGGCTTAGTGAGTTTCCTTAAGATGGTAAGGCTTTGCTGGGCATTATTACAGCAAAAGGATCAGTTGATTTGAAGGACTGTTTCTATTGTATGTAGTGTGAAAGTAATGATTTTTTAAAATGTGATATAGTGGAACTCAAAGTAGAAGTTTTAGGAATGCAAAAGAATTCATTTTGCAAATAGGGAGTGATGAAGTAGGGTTTCATCACCCCTCTGGGACCCCTAAAATGGTAAGGGCACTTCATAGGTAACTAAGAGACTGGTTTTTATTGCCATGCCAACCTGGCTGGAGACTTTAGGAAGTTATTCAACTTAATCTATGCCTCAGTGTCTTCATCAGGACAATGATAGGGTCGAATGACACTATCTCACAGGTCCTTTCCAGATCTAAAATTACACATTTTTTGACAGGTGACAACTCTGAATTATAAAATCCCAATAAAAATGCATTTTACTTTTAAAATGATGAGGGATGGTTCTCAGCACCCATAATAGTCTAAAGATATAATAATTAATTATATCACATCCAGTAACTGCCTCAAGTTATAACCAAATGCTCAATTCATTTGGAGGCCCTTGCTGAATTGAATCAGGGCTTAGGAATTTTAATTGGAAAGAAACTGAGGAATTTCCAGGTAGGTATCAGTAATGAACAGCAGCTCACAGACAAATGGCTGGTTTTGATTTTTGCCTTAAATCTCTGTATCCCTCACTGAAGACAAGTAATAATATCTACTAAATAAACAATGTTTTCCAAGTCCAGGGAGCAGTGAAAAAACAAATATATGGATCAACCCAATTTTACAAATAGATTAAGATTGTAGGATCGTGCACAAGGATTAAGTTTTTCATTTTTATTTCTCCTATCACTCTTCCTTATTTTTCTTACAAATAAAAAACAACGGGATGTTGGTTCTCAAAGGAATTTTACAGATCACTAATAGGAGTGATAGCAATCATTTATTAAATACGTTCAGTATGATAGATACTTTAGATGTTAAAGCTAAATCTCACATCAGGCTATAATTGCTGTTATCCTCATTTACAAATTGAAAGTGTAAATAGGGTTCATAGAGGTTAAATGATTTATCCAAAGCCTTAAAGTCAGTATGAGCTAGAGCCACTGTTCCACTATAAGTGACAGACTCCAAATGCCTGATGTAGCCCTGGTCTCTCTGTTTTATTTTTCCAATGTGTCCTGCAGAGGCAAAGGGACTTGAAGCAAGTCATGTACTTAGTTATTGGCAGAGTGGTACCAGATCACCTTATATCTGGCCTTGCACTCTGTACTTAACTCACCAGGTTGGACAACCTGGCCAAGCAAGGTCTGCCTAATGTGACAATTTTGTCATCATTTCAGATAGTCTGTCACACCAAGGCAGAAGGACAAGGGCAGCTAGATAGTTCTGTTCTAGGCATTCTAGAATGAAGTGAAAGAACTCACAATTGCAACAAGATTAAAAGACCATATTTTAATTTGGTTTTCAAAAACACTTCCATCTACCCTCACTGGTAACACAGTTGCAAACACAGAAAAATAATAAAAGCCTTTTCTTTTTAACATCAACCTCAGAGGCACAACTGAAGGACCAGGGTTCATTCTGCTGCTGTGAAAAATCCAAACATGTATGCAGAGGTATGTGTAGAAGATAACCACCACATTGTTTACAACAGTTTTAAGCTTTTGTATTATTTATCCCATGAAATCCTCAGGTTAAAAGCACATCCATCAAAAAACTTGGAAAGCAAAGAAAATTTAAATCTTCAGATTCAAATGCTTTGAAAGTCCAGCCACTTCCTTTCCTTTCTTTCCTTTATTCCCTTCCTTCCCTGCTACTTACTTTAATAAAATGTTTATTATTCAAGTGTGCCTTGCCACATCTTGGATCCAATTATAGCCTTTCTTTTTTTTTTTAAGTATAGTCTCTATATGTCAATTCAAGAAAGATTTTTAAAAATTAGAAAAATAGGCAAAAGTAGAATTAGAAAATCCCAGAAGTAACACAAGTGGTCGATAATCACAGGAAGCAAGGTTCAATCTCACTAGCATTGAGGGGGAAATACAACGAGATCTCACTGTTTAAAAGATGTGTAGATATTTAAAAGATTGCTAATATAATCTTTTGGAATACATTTCTCTCATATTCTTTGGTACAAATGTAAATTGTTTTAGTGTCTTCCAGGGGTGTTTTTTCAGTATACAGTAAAAATTTAAATTCATTCACAACCTCCAACTCCGAAAGTCCTGTCTCTGGCATCAACCCAGGAAAAAGACTCACAAATCTGAGAGTGGTGATACTGCTTTCCTTGAAAGGTTTTCCGCCCTTCACCTCAAGGACAGAACTTCCTCTTGGTTTTGCTACTGCCTCACTCGCCACTCTGAGCAGCCTCCTTTGTTGGTCATTACTCATCTTCTCCTCTAGAAGCTTCAGTACCCCCAGGGCATGGTATTTTCACACATGCTCCCAAGATGATCTGCAGTCAGATCAGCTGTGCTCAGATCCCTTCAATGGCTTCTCATCTCTGCTTTTTTCTCCTTCCTCCTTCCAGGTCCCTGGTGGGTCCCAGGAATCGTGCTTGTTTCTTATCGTGGTAAAATATACATAACATAACCATTTTACCATTTTACTATTTTAACCATTTTTGAGTGTACAGTTCGATGGCATTAATTACATTTGTATTGTTGTGCAACCATCATCACCATCCATCTCCAGAACTTTTCTTCTTCCCAAACTGAAACTCTGTATCCATTAAACAGTAATTCCCCATTTGCCCTCTCTCCCAGCACCTGGCAATCAGCTTTCGATGAAACTGACGACTCCAGGTGCTTCATGTCAGTAGAATCAGATATTTGTCCTTTTGTGTCTGGATTAATTCACTTGGCATAATGTTTTCAAGGTTCATCCGTGTCGCAGCATGTCTCAGAATTTCATTCTTTTTCAGTCTGAATAATATCCCGTTATCTGTATATGCCACATTTTCTTTATCCACTCATCCATCAGTAGATATTTGGATTCTTTCCATCTTTTGGCTATTGTGAATAATGCTGCTATGAACACTGGTGTACAAATATCTGTTCAAGTCACTGCTTTCAGTTCTTCTGAGTATATTCCCAGAACCCATCTCTTGTTACATAAAATCCAGAGGCCTTATGCAATCTGCCTCTTCCCCAGAAAAGCACATGCACCACCCCTCTGTTTTTCCTACTATAATATTTTTCCCCTTTCTTACTCTGCTTTGCCCACACAGCCCTCTTTCATCTTCCTCCAGTCTACCAAGCATGAAATTGCATCAGAGCATTTGCCTGTAAAGTTGGGTCTCTGCCTTAAAAAATTTCCCCCAAGACATCTGCCTAGTCTGTTCATTCACTTCACTCAGGTCTCAGCTCAAACATCATTTTGTTTGGTGGGCATTCCCGAATACACAATATAAATTAATATGCTTTCTATTGTTTACTCTTTGTTGCTTTGCCTCAGTTTCCTTCTCTTCTTTGTCCTAATTGGAATTGGACATCCTATTTAATCATTGGTTTGCTGTCCATCTTCCCAACTTAGAATGTAAATCACATGAGATCAGAAACTTGTATTTATTTGGTTCTCCAATATAGCTCCATGTTCTAGAACAGTTTCTAATTCATAATAGGCAGTTAGTAAATATTTTATGAGAATATTTGATGGGTGATAGAATGATAGACTGAATGAATGAATATCTGCACAAAAAGGGATGTATGATATTTATTGCAGTATTCTTTGTAATAAAAAGTAAATGTTCATCATTAGGGAATGGTTAAATAAACTAGATACATCCATACTATAAAATACTCTATAGCAGTAAAAAGAACAAGGTGAATCTATACCAGGGGTCGGCAAACTTTTGAGATGTCAGAGCCGCCAGGGGTCAGTAAACTGCGGCTCATGAACTGTGGCTCTGAAGTAAAATTGAAAATGAAAATAAAACTATCATAGTTTCATTTATAAAATTTTTAAAGGATATTATTCACATAATGGTGATTATTTAAAAATATATTTATGGCTCACAAATAATTTTTAAATAGTTGTGAGGGACAGGATTGGCTCTTCCAGGGGTCAGCACACTTTTGAGACTGAACGTACCCAAAGAGCCGCGTGTGGCTCGCGAGCCACAGTTTGCCGACCCCTGCTCTATTCATATTATTACATAAAAATGTTAAAGACATAGTAATAAGTTTAAAAAAACAATTTTCGAAACAATACAAATAGTATGCTAGAATTTATAGAGCACTCAAGAGTTACCTCTTGTTACATAGATTGGGTACGGAAAGTAGTAAGGAGACTGTTGCTTTATCTGAATTATTTTAAAAATTTGTACCAAAGGTGTATATTACTTATATAACTTGAAAAACTAAAGATAGATAGATTAATAGATATGTACAGGTTACGCATAGGCTAGATGAAAAATCCCTGCTTTCATTTCTGTAAAAAAAACCTTAGAATTTGGGATTTTTGAAATTTTGCATAGTGTGTCAAAGGTCTGGTGATAATCCATTTAGAAATAAAGAGATAACAGCTATTAGAACAAAAGATGGAAAGTGTGGTAGCATTTGCATGCTGATGTTTCCCTCTGTCTTCCCTCACCACTCTAGATGCATACATTTGCATACATTATATATGATGTATGTATATTTGCATATACATATATAGGCAAACATTATCAGACATATGCATACATTTTTATGTTAAAATATTCTGTAAGAATATATAAATCAGCATTTCTGTTAAAACACATCATAGATAAATAGCATAATCACAGATATCCATATCTGAAAAGATGTGTACCAATAACAAATGTTATCTCTGTTTTTTGAAGTGTAGGGGATTTTTACTCCTTATTACTTATCTGAATATTTTCTAGTTTATTCTATAGCAAGAATTTATTACTTTCAAAATTTGAAAGAAAATAGCTACATTTGTAAATTAAAAAATTGCAAAAGTAAAAACAAATCTAATTTTACCTTGTTATGCAACACACAGAGTAAGTCTGCAAACCAATGGAAGGATTGAATGTCTCTGCACACCCAAATGAAATATAGTCTTCTAAGCTTGTATGGTTTCCAGTCATCCCTTTAAAATTAATAATATGACAGTAATTAGGAAAGCAAAAAAAAAAAAGAAAGTTAAGAATCCTTGTATCTTTGAAAATTTGCTTTTCATTAGTAAGCAAACAATAGAAAAATCAGTCATTTACATTGAAGCATCTGATATAGCACTTACTATAACTCTCAGTGTTTATACTTGTGAATATTATAGGCATATTACTCATATCCAGTTGAAAGTAATAAACAAAACTCCTGGATCAGAATAATATCAGCCCTGCATCTCAAAAAAAAAGTTCTCTATTTTTAGTGAATTCTGTCACTCGGTGGGGCTCCAGTCATCATCAGTCTTGCCCTGGCTTCCAGGCAAAGTGAGCCAAAAACATTCCAGAAATTGGTTGTTTATTCCCTTCCTAATATCATTAAAGAAAGAGATTTCACAACTGCCTACTATGTAATGCATTCCAGTAACTCATGATTCCAAGTCTGGATTCCTATTTATAATTAGGAAGTAGGCTTGAGGTTAAGAAAATATTCTTCGTTTTCTTAACTTTAGGTGTCCAAATAACTTGCAATATGTTTCAAAAACAAATGATTTCTGGCTTGGAATATGGTTATTTTTCTAAGAACTTCCAAAAAGTCTCAAACTTATATCAAGTATTTGAAGTTGAAATAAAATATCATTCAAACACATAGCTTCAACTTATTTCTTTTTTTGGAACTCCATTAAACAGACTTTTAATGCAAATTGTGTCTTCTCGAGAAATGAATGGAACAGATTTAAGAATTATTTCATACTGTCATTTTGTGTTTTCATGATAATACTAACCAATTAATTTTTGCTAATAATCCTACAACTAAAATAACTTAAAATGTATTCCTTAAACAATCTTACCTCTAACATTTCTATCCTTCAGTCTGTTATAAATTTTCTGAGTAACAGACCAAGGAATGATGGGCTTATTTTGTCATTTCCTCAGAAAAACTTTCCCTAACCAAACTTCTGTAATAACCCTGGTCCTTTATTCCTATATCCCATTAATCTTTCTTCTTTTCATAATAGCTCTAATATTTTTGGAAATAATGTTATTTATGAATTTCTCACTAGATTATGTTTACCTGCCCTATTTGAATATAAGCATTTTAAGGGCAGGGGCTCAGTATTCCCAGTACCTAGAAGATGGACTGGCCCACAGATGCCCAAAAATATTTGCTGACTGAATGGATAAGTAGTGCCACTTACCACTGATGAGGAAGTAGAGAAATGAAGGCTGATGGAATGACTTTAACAGAGGGTAAGGGCAGAGGAATGCATAATTGTAATACTGACATATTTTACAAGAGAGCACGCTGAAAACCAAAGCCCACATGTTGAGTATCACTGAATTATTCCTCTCATTAATCAGTAAATGGAGTTCCTTGAACAGCAAGTAGAAGGATTCTGTAAGGATTTACTTCCTACTAAAAGAGAGATACCTCAAATATTGACAGTTCTCTATTTGAGCTAATAAAAAGGATCAAAATGACATACAGCAACGTGTTGAGTATTGAAGCAAAAGGAGTTACTCCAATGCCTCCTGCCACGCAGAGGCTAACCTCATAGTTCAATGATTCCTCAAATGGACTTCCAAACGGACCGTCAATGTATAGCCTGTGGAGAAGGCAGACAATGGTGGAAAAGATGAAAATAAGTTAAATTAATTTTCTATAATATGTAGCAAACATGCTGAATCCAACTTCTAGGCTTTGTGATAGTTCAGGTCTTACATCATTGTTTCTCATAGAGATAAGCCTAAAGGAACAAGAAATGTTGGTTATGAACTGTCAATATTGAAATAGTACATGTGTTTCTAAGCATGCCTTTTTAAGGGAAATATTAATCAAACATATAGAAAAATGTATATACGAGCACAACAGATAGCTAAGGACAAGTTAAGCTCTGATCATATTATATTACTATACTTGACTAAATTAAAATACCAACTGTTTTACTGTGTCTAAATTCATTAGTGTTCTCTTTAATGGCAAAGTCAGCAGCAAAAATATTTACCAAAATATCTATTAGGGGCTGGCCGGGTGGCTCAGTTGGTTAGAGCGTGTGCTCTTAACAACAAGGTTACTGGTTTGACTCCCACATGGGATGGTGGGCTGTGCCCCGCTGCAACTAGATTAAAAAGTGGCAACTGGACTTGGAGCTGAGCTGCACCCTCCACAACTAAGATTGAAGGACAACAACTTGACTTGAAGCTGATGGGTCCTGGAAAATCACAATGTCCCCCTTCCCAATTCCCAACACCATTCCTTTCCTCAATTCCCCAATAAAATCTTTAAAAAAAAAATCTATTAATACTATGTGAGCAGAAAAGCAATAGGAGGAAAGAAAAAAAACTAATACACTTCTTCCTGTTTTGTCCCAGTTAGGTTTTTTATTATTATTAATAGTAGTAGTATAGAAACAGCTGGAGAACAATCTCAAAGAAATCTCTAATCAGTCTACTTGATAGATTCATGTGTGTGTGTGTGTGTGTGTGTGTGTGTGTGTGTGTATGTGAAGTCTTCTTAACGACAATAAAACTTGCTAATTGTTCACTCAACATTCATCCTCCCATTCTTTTTTGGTAACAAAACATTCATTTCATTCAGGGAAGCAAAGTACCCAGCCAAACCACTACACTTCCCACACTCTCTTATTATTTTGGCTGTGCGACTATGATCTGGTGAATGTGGTGTAAATATAAGTGCATGGGAAAAAACAGAAGGCTCCATGAAGGAAGCTGTCTCAATTGAAAATTGCATCTCTTTATCCCTCCCCCTTTTTCCCCTCCTTCCTGGTATCTAAAATGTTGACTTGATACTCTAAGTCCTTATCTTTTATGACTCTAGAATTACCATACTCTCTATGGACTACCTAGCTCCACAAATCTTTACACTTAAGAAAAATATATATGCACTTACGTATATAAAGCACTGCCATTTTAAATTTATTTTTTATTTTTTAATTTTTTTATTAAATTCATTGGGGTGACATTAGTAAAATTATATAGCTGTCTAGTGTACATTTCTATAAAACATTATCTATATATTGCACTGTATGTTTACCACCCAGAGTCAGTTCTCCTTCCATCACCATGTATTTGCCCTTACTCTCTGGTGACCACTAATCTGTTGTCTGTGTCTATGAGTTTTTATTTCATTGTTTGTCTTGTTTGTTTGTTGCTTTCAGTTTTATATCCCACATATAAGTGAAGTCATATGGTTCTCAATTTTTTCTGTTTGACTTATTTCGCTTAACATAATAATATTAAGATCCATCCAGGGCCGGCCGAGTGGCGCATTGGTTAAGAGCTGGCTTGGGATGCCAGAGGGCCCCAGTTCAGATCCCACATATGAAGGCCAGTGACACTGCCCTCTACAGCTAGCTAAGATGCTGAACAACAGTTCAACTTGGAGCTGGGCTGCCATGAGTCGCCAGAGACGGTGTAGGCTGCAGCCCTGATGCAGTGGGATGCCATGGGCTACCGTGTGTAGCCAGCAGCCAGCGTGAGCGGCCAGCAGCCGCAGTGAGCAGCCGTCCAGAAGCCGGCGACTGATCTGCCTCACCCNGCTACCGTGTGTAGCCAGCAGCCAGCGTGAGCGGCCAGCAGCCGCAGTGAGCAGCCGTCCAGAAGCCGGCGACTGATCTGCCTCACCCGGGAAGACTGCAATGATGGTGCCAACTTGGGCCAGTGAAACAACGTCCTCCACAACTAGACTGAAGAACAAAAGATCAGCAACGTGTATGTTTCCCTTTCCCCAATTCCCCAGCACTGTTCCCATCCCCCAATTCCCCAATAAAAATCTTAAAAAAAAAAATCCATCCATGTTATCACAAATGGCAGTATTTCATCTTTTCTTATGGTCAAGTGATATTCTATTGTATATATGTAACACATCTTCTTTATCCAATCATCTATCGAAGGACACTTTGGTTATTTCCATGTCTTAGCCACCATGAATAATGCTGCAATGAACACAGGGGTACATATATCTTTACAGATTAATGTTTTCAGATATTTTGGGTAGATACCCAGACGAGGGATTGCTGGGTCATATGGTAACTCTATTCTTAATCTTTTGAGGAACCTCCATACTGTATTCCATAGCAGCTGTATCAATTTATACCAGCAGTGTATAAGGGTTCCTTTTTTCTCTGCAGCCTCTGCAACACTTATTATTTGTCTTGTTGATAATAGCCATTCTAACAGGTGTGAGGTGGTATCTCATTATGGTTTTGATTTGCATTTCCCTAATAGCTAGTGAAGTTGAGCATTTTTTCATATATCTGTTGGCCGTTTGTATGTCCTCTAGGGAGAAGAGTCTGTTTAGGTCCTCTGCCCATTTTTTAATTGGATTTTTTTTTATTGTTGAATTGTATGAGTTCTTCATATATTTTGGATATTAGCCCATATGGGAGGTTTTGTTTGCAAATATTTTCTCACATTTGGTTGGTTACCTCTTTGTTTTGTTGATAGTTTCTTTTGCTGTGCAGAAGCTTTTCAGTTTGATACTTGCATAGGGCCATTCATTTATTTTTGCTTTTACCTCCCTCGCCTTTGAGGTCAAATTCATAAAATTCTCTCTGAACCCAAGGTCCATAAATAAGTTTAGTACCTATACTTTCTTCTATGCAATTTATTGTTTCAGGTCTTATGTTTCGGTCTTTGACCCATTTTGAGTTAATTTTGGTATATGGCAACAGATAGCAGCCTAATTTCATTCTTGAAGGCACTGCCATTTTAAAGCTCATTTTCTGTTGTAAAAATAAGTTTGCTAAAAAATAGTAACAGTCCTAAAACTACATTTATGTTACCAGCCTTATGTATACAAGTCTTTTATTGTTAGGAGCCATTGCAACAGATCATTTAAGATTAAGCATCTATGGGCTGACCAGTGAAGTGCTTGGGAAATGTTTGCTAACTACACTAATTAATGGATAGTCTTTTGACTTCTGAGCTCTATGGCATGTAGTCTATTATATATTACTAATCATTCCCACAGTCGGGCTTCTTTTCCTTCTGGGTACTCAGCAGACAATACTTCCTAGGCTTTTGGGGATTATTGAGCCTTATGAGTAATTCTGACCACTGGACTCAGAGTGAAAGCAATGTTTGTTACTTCTGGAGTGAGGCAGGGAAAACCCTTTTCCTTTCCATGGGAACTAAAAGCCCTAAGTTGAACTAGAAGACCAAAACAACGGAATCCTTGACTTTTCACCTGAAAAGAGCTGTCCTGGAGAGTGAAGACACTTCACAAGCAAAAAATCAACCCATTTTGTTATATCACATTTTCAAGGATATTTCAAGGTTAACTGGTTACTGCGGATTTTAGACCTTCATGACATGACTATTACGTGTACAGTATATATACTTAAATCATGAAGGGAAACTTGCAAGAGTGCTGCTTTAAAAAATACTATATCTATTTAAAAAGCTACTTATTGTACCTCAAGGAACAATAATCAAAGTTTAAATACTTAAGATAGTGTTCTAAACATAGCAGGAATTCAGAAAATACTGATAGATCAGATACTCACAATATGCTTAATTTTTATTACATCTATTTCATTCATACTTTACAGCTTCTTCACTCAACAAACCAAAAAAAAAGAACACAGTTGAAAGTTAATGATACAATATATTGGATTTTTGATAGAAATCTCAAAATATCAGTTGCTCAAAAACAACATATGTGAATTAATTCTACCACTTTTTACCATGTAAGCAAATTTAGAACACAAACATTAAGCAACAAAATTGAGATTAAAAATAAGCACTTCCAATTGCAAAAGCAGGATTATTATAAATCTCTACAACTATTTTAGAATCCACTAGACTTAGTGCAATCTTCTCTTAATTAGTCATTCATTCATTCAACAAATGTTTTTCTGCACCTGCAATGCACCACTGTTCAAAGTGTCTGGGATACAGAAGTGATAGAATAAGTCCCTAACTACATGGTTCTGAGATCCTAGTGGGAAAGGGACTAACCCAGAAATAAAGGTAGAAAAAGATATATGATATAATGCCACATAGTGATAAATGCTTTTAAAAATAGGTAAAACATAATCATTATTTAAGCTGGGTGATGTGGTACATAAAAGTTCATTATACTGTTCCGTGTACTTTTGTATATCCTTGAAATTTTGCATTGGCAGTTTAAAAAGATAGTGAGAGAAAGCCTCTCTGTGCATGTGCCATTTGAACAGAGACCTAAATGAAACAAAGAAGCAAGATGTAAAAGCATCTGGGAGAAAAACCTTTCCAGCAGAAGTAACAGAAAGTGCAAATAAACACAGCATTCTTGGCTTAAGTATATATGCACACCAGCTAACCCTTCTCAGGAACTCTCAACTCAGTTTCTCTGTTCAATCTCCTGCTAATTGTGTTTATGAATTTTTCTTTGTCAGGACTGAGGCTCTGTTTGGACCATTCCACACCAGTTCCTGTTCATTAACAAATATTTTGGCCCCTATCTATAAAGGCACTCTTCAGGTGCTGGAAATGATGGCAGTGAACAAGAGACAAAAATCCCTGTCCTTGTCGAGGGCTTCTCTTTGATGTGACTATCTACCACATCCTTCATCAGCATATACTTATTGAGTATTTTCTATGT